TCATTGCTGATATACCTACATCAAACCAAACGCTTCTCGTCTTATTTGCTGACGAAACAGCAATAGGTACTACGTCAAATAAATTTTCTGATATCGCATCTCAACATTTACAATTACCTACATTTAAATAAAATAGAATCTTGGTCCAAAAACTGGAAAATTAAAATCAATGACGAAAAATCCGCACAGGTGAATTTTTCACTAAACAAAAGGGAAAGCCCCCTACTGAAGTTCAATAACAAACCAATTCCACTTCACCAGTCAACCATAGTACGTAGGCATAACTCTGGATAAAAAAATTAACCTGGTCAAACCATACCAAATAAAAACAAAAACAACTTAACTCCCGCCTCCATCTACTTAGATCTCCACTAAAATAAAACTTGAGTCTTAAAAACAAACTACTCCCTATACAAAGKAATCGTCAGTATGGTCATATAGCATCAACATTTAGGACCCAGCAAAACCCGCAAACATTCGTCCTATTCAAGCTTCCTAGTCAATTAACCTAAGACTTATCATCGGTGCTCCGTGGTACATAACAAATGCAGCCCTCCATAATGTCCTAAAAATACAATCAGTAAACGAGCTTACAAAAAGCCACTACAAAAGTTTCCATTCAAAATTAACAAACCACATAGGTAATCCCTTTCATTCAAATATGTCCTCTCTAACATTACCACAAATTTACCATCGATTAAAAAGAAACTGAAGATCTCCTAAAATAGGAAAAAAAAATGTTCYGAGGTTCTGTTAATGAACTATGTACTTTTCACGTAATTCATGTTTGTATATTTTCCATGTTATCCTTATTACTTATTGTTTTTTATTGTTAACAGATWGAATATATTTAAWAGMAAAAAAAGTTCTCAAAAGTATAATAGCGTTACTATGCCCAAAGAGGCAAAGACTATCGCTATATGATTGATAAAAGGTTTGAAACCACATGTAATCCCCTCGTAATTAAATATCACAGCCCACAGAAAATAWTAATTTTGAAATAAATAAAACTAAATTCTTATTTTTTGGAAATCAATTTTTACTTTCCAAAAATTTGCAGAATCGTTTAAAACTGTTTTTCAACATAGATCTGCTGTCTTGATTATCACTCTGAGGCTCTAAAAATAAAACAAAATAAAATAATAAACGAAATTGCGACGAGTAGATACTAGATAGGTGTATAGGYAGTGACGCCGAACCCCCTAATAAGTGTTGTTAAAACAATAGCGCTTAAATAGGGTGGGTGGTCTTAGGAGCTTAGCCCATAATGATCATAAGGACCTTAAGGCTGCTCATATAACGTWTATATATTATTATAAAGTAATATAATAGTATAGTAATAACCTTGGTTTGAATAGTTTTGGTGAAAATAAATTTGAAAATAGGTAGGTAGTACCTACTTTTTTTAGAGCTCGACGCCACTGATTATAGGTACCTAATACTAAGGCTCAATATTACCTACAGTGCCCTATAAAAAAGAAAATAGTAATGCGTATCACCATTGTCGTCAAAAGAAAAATAATTTGAGAATGAAGAAAAATTGATGATCTTAAATATTTAGTTATCGGTGATTATATGAACAAAAAAATAAATGTCAATATTATAATAATATTTGACAATCGTACCTAMGACTATACACCTATTGCATTGTGAGATTTTAACAGTGGACGAATAGGGTAATATTGTTCATATTATATCCCTACAAGYTACAGTGATGCCTGTGAGAATAGTGGATGTGCCATTAGGAATAAGTATTACTTAAAGAAAGTTCCTGTGAACAGGGAATATTCTCCAATCTTTCGGGAAGTTTCTTTTACAATTCTTTTAAAAATATTCTGTATATGTCGATTTAATTTAAATAGAGTCACTATAAAATATAGTAGTATAGATTTAACAATAAAAAATTATTTAAAACCTAATCTTTAAACTGAAAACTGAAATTTAATAGTTATAGTTCTATAGTTCTATATCTAACTTATTAATTTTGGAATTTCCAAGTATTYTTATTCTCCTGTAATATTTTTGAGTATAAAATATTAATGATTTGATTGATTTAAATCATATACAATATATTCATCCATAGGTTTAATTAAACATTGAAACGTACCTATAAACAATTTAAAAAAAAAAAACTTATTATAGGCACTCATCTCGAGAAATTCCTGGCCTTTGTGACATTCCTTGGAATTTTCCTGAAAAATTACTGTAACTACATCCCTGTGATGTCTCATATCATTAAGGAATACTATTGCAATTTTCATGGCAGTTTATAATAGTGTCAGAGACGAAGATTTGAGAAATTTTAATTATTCTTTAGGTACATATATGGATTTAAGAGACTATTGAGTGTTGACACGTTCATGGTGTTATACGTTATAATTATTGTATTTAATGAACGTTAGTCGTTAAGAAATGTTAATAATAATAATTGATTTATTATTTTTATTTATGTAAGTTATAAACTCTCAACTTATAAAAATAAACATTGAAGAAGAGTTAGCAAGCATAGGCTAGGGCAGAACTTATAGTTTCAAATAGGTAATTTATTTTACCAGCTGCTGTGTATTTACGGAATACCATTGGTTTAAGAACACTAACACACCATTTTCCCAACCAAAACCAGTCTGCGGAATGCTCTTGTGAAATTGAAGAAACAAAAATATATAAGCCTGAATATTCAGTATCGGGATAGATATGACAGTAAAGTCGAAGAGGGTTGGCTGGCATAGGGCAGAGCCTGTCTAATTTTAAGTAATTAATTTTACCATCTGTGTCAGTTGTTTTGACGGAACACCATTGGTTTAAGAACTCTAGCACGATACCATTTGTCCAACCGAAACCAGTTTGCGGAATATATTCACCACCGCCACCAGTTTCTCCCGGAAGTTCGACGTGGTACTGTTATAGAACAATAAATGTTGACACATATTATATTACATATTTTCAAAATCAATATAATGATATTACAATATTTTTCTAGCGAATTATAGTTACCTACGTATAATATAACATTCGTGTTTGTTTAYTCTTACCTTTTCATACATTATCGATTTTTCTGCAAATCCCTTATAATTCGTGCTCAACCAGACCTCGGCCATTTTCGCGGCCACTTGCTGTGCGCAGCTATGTTCTGTCCTGTGCAGACCTTGAATGATATATGCTTGCAGAGGAGGCCAAGCATTTGGATAATCCCACTGTTGAGACGATACGTACATGGATGTAGGCGTACCTTTAGTGAGAAATTACTAATCAAATTATTCTCTGCCTATCTRTAGGTATAGGTAATGCAAGGCTGGTGTTAAGGGGAGGCAATGTTAAATGTTAATWCATACCCGCATAAATAAATAATAGGTACTTTATTTGTTGTATTTAATTGAATATTAGTTAGTCTTTTTAAGTACCTAGGTCCTACATAATATATGAAACTTGAGTAAATATTATACTACATATTTTTATATTTTATATATGTTCTTTAATAGTAAACATATTTTTAGCGCCACGCGAAGTATTTTCCAGTGGTGTTTTTACGGTCTGTTTTAACGAGCTGATAATCTATTAGATATGTGWTGTGTATGAGGCCGTTGGCCAAAATACGTTTCATAATAGCACGAGATTCGAAATACAGTGCAATGTTGGCACTTTAACCTAACCTAACCGATCGTCCCGAATAAAACGCTGCAACGCGGGCACGTTTAACGTCGGGAGGCGTACAGGTGAGCTACAGTGGCGTAATTATGGCGGAGGATATAAGGATATATCCCTCTCAGAGAATTTTTTTTTAAGACAACCATGATTTTATTAAATTCCTGAAAACACTTGGTTTTAAAAAAATTTTAAAAGATTTTAAAATAAGAAATATAAGAATTCGTTGATGTTATTACAGATGAGATTTGTTTTTATTTTATTAGTTTAAAACTGGGATATACCTCAACAATTACAATGTATGACAAACAAATTGTACGTTTCATAGTTAAAAGATAACTTTTAAAACAATTATTATATCATTTACCTCATTTAATCTTATCTCTATGTATAAAGGAATTTGTCTTTCGGAGGGATCACTGTAGAGCCCAAACCACAGGGCACATCTGCTTGTTATTTTCAGGACGGATTAATATTATAATTTCACTATTTGYAGCTGGCAATGTTTTCCCATATGTGTTTGAAATTTATTATAATAATAATCTTTATGCCAAATTTGGTGTAGATGTACATTCCCAGTAAAAAGATTGTGTCTAACCGGAAATATTAAWAGTGGTCATTTTGATGTTAATTTATCTATTTCTAATATTCCAAATTCTATAGAAAATGTAATTTTTACTACAGAGCGATTTGCCTATTTGTAAAAATTTTAGTTTCACAGATAATTTAATTAATAAAAGTAAGAAGCATTGCCGTGCTAGAAGTACAGATGGACCTAGAAGCAACCAAGTCRTGGAAGCTAAAAAAAGATGAGAAACCTATTTTTTGGTCTGAAAATCCATTGTGGAAATGGAAAATTATTAAGTTAACTGGTCTTGCATATGATCCCACAATTGGTTATAAAAGTTATATTGGCACTATGAACCAAAATGTATTCATAACTTTTGCGTGTAATCTAAAATGGTAAGAAATCCAAGAAGCACTT